ACTGCAAACTGCATGAAGTCCCCCCATGGAGCTGACTGTCAGTGAGATGCAGGCTCTCTACCTTCAGCACCCTTGAAGCCGCTGCAGAGGGCAGAGCAGCAGGTCAAGGCCAGAAAGTCATATGAGATTCTCTTTGGCAGCCCTTCAGGCACCCAGCTCCCACCCCACTAGATTTTGACCCACTCTGAGTGGAGAAGGCCAACACAACCAGAAGAGTGGGTGTAGGGGCTTCCCAGGCCTCAGGAGCTAAGGAGACCTGTGAGACTATCCTGTGCAGGGGCAACATCTTAAGCCTCACACCTCACACCAGGGAAGAACAAGTAGACTGATCAGCCACGATCCATCTTACTGTGATGAGTTGCTCTTTGGCTCCCGGCCCGAAGGCAGCAGCTGGGAGGCCCCAAGGACGGTGAAGGGGAACACTACAAAATTGCACATTCTCTTCTGGACACTGCCAGTTACTGCCAAGGCAGCCATTCACCCCACTCCAGGAGCCACCCACCCAACTGGTACCCTGAAGTCCAGGGAGGCAGCAGATTCCTGGAAGATGTCCCTGGGCGGGTTTGGCTCCCCATGCCCTCAGAGGTAGACACATTCCTATTCCCTCATCCATCTCAGTGTTCCCAGCACTGTTCACTTGGCCCCCTGTGCCCGTTGACAAATGGACCTCACGATCCCTGTCCTGCCATGTCAGGGGTGACCTTCTAGAGTCCCCTGGTGATGCCCAAGGCTCTCTCAATTTAATGTTTCAGTGTCAGTAACTCTCCAAAGAGAGGGAACACCCAGAAACCAAAGCGCTTTTGGAAATAAGGATCATTCATCAGGTTTGCCCATGGGGTCCTGGTAAGGGGCACGGCCCCTGGCAGGGGTCATCCAAGTAGACCAGCAGCATATCGTGGGCATTGGAGAAGCCCCATAGGCCTCCCTGCCTTTACACCCCCTGATATATATTTGGGCACCATCCCTTGAGGAGTGTCTCTCCAGCCATGTGTCAATCACACTTCAAATCAACACCACCCCAGGGGCCTTCCACCTCCTCTCTGTCCCATGAAGTGGTTTTGCTGCCAAGTTATGAATGGCCAACTTAGAGGGTTCCTTCCCCTCCTTCAAGTCAAGTTTTATTCCTTATTTTTCTAAAGATTTATTTATTTATTTATTTGAAAGGCAGAGGCAAAGAGAGAGAGAGAGAGAGGTCTTCCATCCGCTGGTTCACTCCCCAGATGGCCGCATAGGCCAGAGCTGAGCCGATCTGAAGCCAGGAGCCAGAAGCTTCATCTAGGTCTCCCAGGTGGGTGCAGGGGCCCAAGCACTTTGACCATCTTCCACTGCTTTCCCAGGCCATAGCAGAGAGCTATGGAGAGCAGTGGAGCAGGCGGGACCCAAACCAGTGCCCACATGGGACTGTGGTCGGCAGCCTTACCTGCTACACCACAGCGCCAGCCCCAAGCCAAGCTTTCTGCTCAGAATTAGCTTCCAGCTGAGTCTGGAAGCCTCAGAGGAATTACGCAGGCTACATGCAGACTACAGGGAGCACAAGAGCATCTGGGTAAACAATTTTTCATTTTAATAGTCATGTGGGTTTTTGTTTTCATGTATTAAGTATATCAGTAGCTCATTAGAAAATAATTTAAATAAACCTTCTCCCGTGAGAGAACTTTAACTTATGATGACATCCAATGTATTTCAGATTTTTAAAAAATGATAGGCTTTTTGGTCATGGACACCCAATATGATGATATCTTGAGGAGATGAACTTGGGAAGGTGAAGTTATCAAGTTACCAAGCTACCAAGCCTTTTGCTCTCTATGCTCCCCTATCTCTGTCTCTATGGTAACTGGTATCCTGGCAAGGACAGATCCACCTGCATGGCTAGCTGTCTACAGCCCTGTTATGTAATGGTTTGGCTCCAGGCCACTATTGTCAGTAAGCCCACATAAACAACTGGGGGGACATGGCTAGATGTGGCCGCTTGCGGCTATGTGGCTGTGTGGCTGTGTGTAGATGTCTGTGTGTATGTCCCACTGCCACCATGGACACAAAGGCGGCTATCTCCTGTGACCCCACTACTAGGAACAAGCAGCTGTCCCTTGTGCATTTCTCACTGCCACTGTGAGTAAGGGAGAAATAAACCCACAAATGACTCTGAGTTGTTCTCTGACCTGTCGGAATCTGGATCTGCTTGTCCTGGGCCCTATGCTCCTGGAACACATGATGTATAGATAGAAAGGACCCTAATAGGTGGTCTACCAAGACAAGCTTCTAGTTTTAAGGACAGTTTTGGAGAACCAGGAACTGATTCCCACAAGTCTAAAATCCTGCTTCTCCTCATAAGCAAATTCTAAATGTCCCATACTCGCTTTTTTGAAAGGACATTTAACTCAATGTCATCACACTGGCATGACATGATGCTAATCTTCTCTGTATTGTTCCAATTTTAGTATATGCGCTGCCCAAGTGAGCACATGGCACGACATCAGAAAGCAGTTAAATGTGTTCTTGATAAGAGCAGAGACGAATACCACAAGTGAATATTACATTTGCTTATATTGCTTGACCACTATATAAAAGAAAGGTGTCCAAAAGCTGCAAGCAGTTCAAAGAAGTATTACTGGAAAAGAAACAGAAGGAGTAAAAATATCCAACTGTACCATGTGCCCAAAAGAAACAAGTCATTGTTAATTGTTTATGAAATACAGGTAACAGCTATTTAGTTTGTCTTGTACTTACATTTTCCTTTTAAAGGTTGAGATTTATGTGTATTAAGAATGCAAAATAAGGTACAGCGTTGTGGTATAGCAGGTAAAGACGCTGCTTTTGATGGTGACATCCCATATAAGCACTGGTTCGTGTCCTGGTTGCTCCACTTCTAATCCAGCTACCTGCTAAGAAGCCTGGGAAAGCAGCAGAAGATGGCCCAAGTGCTTGGACCCCGGCTACCCTTGTGGGAGACCTAGAAGAAGCTCCTGGCTCCTGGCTCCAGCCTGGCCCAGTTCTGGCCATTGTGAGCATCTGGGGAGTAAACCAGTGGGTTGATGGAAGGTATTTCTCTCTCTCTCTCTCTCTCTCTCTCTGTACCTCTGACTTTTAAATAAATAAATATTTTTAAAAAATATGCACAATGGGCCGGCGCCGCGGCTCACTAGGCTAATCCTCCGCCTTGCAGCACCGACACACCGGGTTCTAGTCCTGGTCGGGGCGCCGGATTCTGTCCCGGTTGCCCCTCTTCCAGGCCAGCTCTCTGCTGTGGCCCGGGAAGGCAGTGGAGGATGGCCCAAGTGCTTCAGCCCTGCACCCCATGGGAGACCAGGATAAGTACCTGGCTCCTGCCATTGGATCAGCGTTGGAGGCTGAACCAACGTCAAAGGAAGACCTTTCTCTCTGTCTCTCTCTCTCACTGTCCACTCTGCCTGTCAAAAAAAAATAAAAAAATAAAATAATGCACAATGACATGACTTAAAATATAAATTCACAAGAGTCAAAATAAATCACTGTGACAAAGGACACAAATATTATAAAAAGTGGTTATTTCTTCTCACACATATTAATTAGTCCTACTATTAGTTACCACCAATTGTCACTATTAACTAGTCTGTTTTATTTAGATAATAGCACTTATGTAACAGAGAAGTAAAAAACAAAAACTTTTTTTTTTTAAATTTAGTTATTTATTTGCAGGGCAGAGTTACACAGAGGGAGAGACAAGAGAGAAAGAGGGAGATCTTCCTTCTGTTGGTTCATTCCACAAATAGCTGCCAGGCCAAAGCCAGGAGCCTGGAACTCCATCTGAGTCTCCCTTGTGGGTGGCAAAGCCCAAGCACTTTGGGCCATCTTCTGCTGTTTTCCCAGAGTGAACCAGAAGTGGAACAGCCAGGACTCCAACCAGTGCTCATATGGATGCCGATGTCACAGGCAGTGGCTTAACCACTGGGCCACAATGCCAGCCCCTAGAAAAATCTTTTAAATAAATGTTATCACACTGTGCACTTAATTTGTGTCAGCACTTGGCCGGCGCCGCGGCTCACTAGGCTAATCCTCCGCCTAGCGGCGCCAGCACACGGGGTTCTAGTCCCGGTCGGGGCGCCGGATTCTGTCCCGGTTGCCCCTCTTCCAGGCCAGCCCTCTGCTGTGGCCAGGGAGTGCAGTGGAGGATGGCCCAGGTGCTTGGGCCCTGCACCCCATGGGAGACCAGGAAAAGCACCTGGCTCCTGGCTCCTGCCATCGGATCAGCGCGGTGCGCCGGCCGCAGCGTGCCAGCCGCGGCGGCCATTGGAGGGTGAACCAACGGCAAAAGGAAGACCTTTCTCTCTGTCTCTCTCTCTCACTGTCCACTCTGCCTGTCAAAAAAAAAATAAATAAAATAAAAATAAAAATAAAAAAAAAATTTGTGTCAGCACCTGCAATGCATATCTTTGTGCATGACAAGGACATGTTATTGGGAAGGTCCATGCAGGTGAGAGCAGTAGTTTGAGTGTGTTCCACAGTGGAAAGCAGAAAAAAGCATATAGTTTCAAGAGAACACTTATTTTCAAGTAATTACACATATATAACAAACATATATATTATGTGGCTTTGTGAGGGTTGGCTTTACCTTGTTTTTGTGTCTAGTACAGCTGTGTCAAGTTGGCTCTCTAAAGCCTGGTCACCCTAGGATTATAGTACATTTGGGTGAGGGAAATGTACTATTTGTAAATTGCATAAACAAGAAACTGCTAAACAGTGGTGCCTTCTGTGAATGCAAAATGAAAGGCTGGAACAGGTGAAAGAGGCTTGCTTTTCCTTGCTTTTTCCTAAAATTTTTTTTAATTTTAGACTCTACTACTCAAACAAGGAACATCATTAACTAGCTTCACACAGAAGTTGGCCATGGAGAAGATGGAGAAAGGCGTTCTTGGGAAGAGGGAACGCATGTTCCCACTGGAAACAATGTATTGGGAACACGTGGTTCTTGGGGCGGGGGTTAGGGGTGCGGAGGGGTGCTGCTAATCAAACTCAAGATGGCTTCCTGGAGCAAAACCGAGTCTGAAGACTCCTCTGAGGTAAACCACTCTCCAAAACTTCAGGGTCTGCTAAGCCTGGGAAATCAGTATGAATTTGTGTGTGAGTGTGAGAGAGGGAAAGAAAGGGAAGCCCTTGGAGGGCTTTAAGGAAGTCAAAATTTAATTTGTGGTTGTACGAAAACTGGAGGAGCACTATGAGTATTTGGGGGGGTCAGTTTCTGTAATTTCAGTAAGGCAGTTGGCTTGGACTTGTTATCGTGGTGGAACTGGGCAGAGATTCGGAGAGAGATCTCCCTAACTGAACTTGCTGGTGTGTGGCCGCTGAGGGAAAGCAGCAACATGGCTGCCTCCTCCATTTGCAGTCTAAGATGGCAGATGCTAGGGCATTCATTGGTAGATGCAGAAAAGTAAGAAAGCGTTCTCTGAGTCATTTTAAGCCAGGTGGTTGGCTGGTACGTATTTCTTGAAAGTTACTCGGGCTAGATGGACAGTTCTTAGGTGATTCTAGTGAGGCGGGAGTGGCGGCATCTGTGAGGTAAGGAAGGACTCTGAGAGTCTCCTTTGGGACTGAAAGGAAGCTGCTGAGGACCACGGACCACGGGATGGAGCTGGAGGGGCTCCAGGAGGACCCATGATGCCCGTCAGAGGCGAGGCGCTAGCCTTTCCTGTGATAAGAGCTAACCCAAGTCCTATTGTGCTATTGTGTGGAGAACCAGGCAGGATGGCCAAACTTAGCAAATTTGAAACCAGGACACCCTACTAAATTTGAATGTCAGATCCACAACTAAATCTGTAGTGTAAGTATAGCCCAAGCAATGTTTGGGATATACTTAACACTAAAAGCATGCTCATTGTTGACGTGAAGTTCAAATGTACCTGGGTTCTGTTTGATCATGGGAGCCCAACGCTGGGGCAGGTGGGAGCAGGGAGGGGCCACGGTGGTGGCAGGGGAGATACGAGGGTGGCTCATGTGGTGCCCTTTGCTGGTGACCAGCTGTAAGAAGAACAACTTCTCGGCACTCTTAAGTCGTTCAGCTCCCGGAAGTGTTCCCCAGGGAAGGCTCTCCCACTTCTTGTCTTCCTCCCGATCCAGCTCCTTCTCTCCGCTGTCTGGGGCGCCCGAGAGTGGCTCTAGGCTGCCCCGGCTTCCCAGAGGCAGCGCCTGAGAACTGGCTGCCTGGCCGGCCGCGGGCGGGTGAGCTAACCCCGCCTCCCGGCCCCCGTAGGGGTGGAGCCAGAGCGAGGAGACTGTGAGTAGCCCGCTCTCCCCGGATGACGAGTGTCAGGATAACATGGAGTCGGGCAAGATGGCGCCTCCCAAGAACGCTCCGAGAGATGCTTTGGTAAGTGCGAAGGCTGAGAGGCGGGGCGCGGAGCCTGGCGCGGCAGGGCACCTGTGAGGCAGGCCCGGGCTGAGGGCCTGAGCGCGAGCTCGCGCGCTCGCTTCAGCCCAGCCGGGGCGGCCGGCGGCAGAGTGTGATGACGGTTCGCCTTGGACCCTGAGGAGCTCTCCTGCCGCCCTGGCCGAGCCCAGCCGGAGGGTAGCAGTTCAACCGAGTTTACTGGCCGGCCGCCCGATTTTATCTCCTGGGCCTCGGGCCCCCGCCGCCCAGTCCGCCAGCCCTGGGTTCTGATAGAGTGGCTTCCCCTCCTGCCACATCGAAAATGACAACCAGCTGGAGCCACCCCTACCTCCTCTGGGAACGCCAACCCTGGCCTTTTTTCTCTCTCAGAGCCCTCACCCCCGCTAAAATAAAATAAAATAGAAGTTTTTTGGCGAGAGTGTATGACGTGATTTGGGTGATCACTGACACTTGTTAGCACAATCAGGAGCAGGAGTTTGAAACCCGGAGAAGGGGGTCCTTGTCTCATAATTAGAAATACTAGCTAGCTTTTGTCCAGCCTTCATTTCTGATACCTGGATTATGCATCTGGCATTTCTGTTGGACTCCACAGGTGATGGCACAGATCCTGAAGGATATGGGAATCACAGAGTATGAACCGAGGGTCATAAATCAAATGTTGGAATTTGCTTTCCGTAAGTTCACAAACACCAAAAACTGGTCTGACTTGTGAATTTGAAAAGCTTGTGTTATTGGCTTTCAAAACCAAAATTCATAAACTTTTTAGAAACTAGTAGAACCTTTTATTAAGGCAGTGGCTGTAAATATTAAGTTATCTTCATGTTTAAGAAAAAATTGTTTTGTTATTAAAGGATATGTGACTACAATTCTGGATGATGCAAAAATTTATTCAAGCCATGCTAAGAAACCTAATGTTGATGCAGATGATGTGAGACTGGCAATCCAGTGTCGTGCTGACCAGTCTTTTACCTCTCCTCCTCCAAGAGATGTGAGCAAATATTTATTTGAAGTTAAATTTAATTAACATTTTTAAACTATAGTTCTAATAAGGATTTTTTTCTTTAGTTCTTGCTGGATATTGCAAGACAGAAAAATCAAACCCCTTTGCCACTAATTAAGCCATATGCAGGACCCAGACTTCCACCTGATAGATACTGCTTAACAGCTCCAAACTACAGGCTGAAGTCCTTAATTAAAAAGGTAAGAATGTTAAAAAAAAAAGTATTCCTTTTTTTAAAAAGGTAGAATACAAGGGGAATTCGTAGAAAGCAAATTCTTGTATACAGTGCAGATTAAAGGTTAGGATAATTTTTTAAATGTATTTATTTTTTTGAAAAACACAGAGACAAGGAGGTCTTCCATCCAGTGGTTAACTCCCTCAAATGCCCACATCAACTTAAGCTAGACCAAGCTAAAACCAGGAGCTGGGAACTCCATCTGGGTCTCCCACAGGTGTGCCAAGGACCAAACTATTTGAGCCATCACCTGCTTCGTCCCAGGGTGTGCATTAGCAGGAAGCTGGCATTGGGAATAGAGCCAGGACTTGAACCCAAGCACTCAGATATGAGATGCAGGCATTCAAGTGACAACTGCTACTCTAAATACCCACCCCCAGATTAAAGTCAGATAATTTACTAGAATGTAGGGTTTTTTTTTTCTAATTTTTAAAACTAAAAGGAACTTTTAAGTGTTCATATAACCCAACATTTTTATTTTTTTAATATCAGGAAAGTGAGCCTAAACACATTTATTAGAGTTAGTAACAAAGCTAGGACTGATTCCCAGTTCCTCTAATTTCCAAACTTTCAACTGTACCATGATTTTCTAGTGAGGCCTGATAACAGAATGAATGATACACCATTAGGAATTGAGCCTATTTTCTGAAATACAACCACAGACTCTCCCACCACTGAAAAAGTCTCCTCCCCACCCCCATTGGGTGGTTTTTATTTTCTGTTCTGTTGTTTTTGCTTTAACACATTGACTAGTGAAGATTAAAAATCAAGGGGCCAGCATTGTGGCACAGCAGTTTAAGCTGTGAACTGCGATGCCAGCAGTCCCATTCAAGTCCCAACTGCTCTGCCTTTTTTTTTTTTTTTTGAACAGGCAGAGTGGACAGTGAGAGAGAGACAGAGACAGAGAGAAAGGTCTTCCTTTTGCCATTGGTTCACCCTCCAATGGCCGCCACGGCTGGCACGTTGTGGCCGGCGCACCGAGCTGATCTGAAGCCAGGAGCCAGGTGCTTCTCCTGGTCTCCCATGCGGGTGCAGGGCCCAAGCACTTGGGCCATCCTCCACTGCACTCCCTGGCCACAGCAGAGAGCTGGCCTGGAAGAGGGGCAACTGGGAAAGAATCCGGCGCCCCGACTGGGACTAGAACCCGGTGTGCCGGCACCACTAGGTGGAGGATTAGCCTATTGAGCCGCAGTGCCTGCCTGCTCTGCTTCTGATCCAGCTCCCCATTAATGTGCCTGGGAAAGCAGAGGAAGATAGCCTAAGTGCTTGGATTCCTGTACCCATGTGAGAGTCCCGGAAGAAACTCCTGGCTTCGGATAGGCCCAGCTCTGGCTGTTGCAGCCATTTGGGGGAGTGAACCAGCAGATGGAAGAACTCTCTTTTTGTCTCTCCCTCTCTCTGCACCTCTACCTTTCAAATAAATACATCTTTAAAAAAATACCAGAGCTGGCCCGATCTGAAGCCAGGAGCCAGGAGCCTCTTCCAGGCTGTTACACCACAGCACCAGCCCCTAAATACATCCTTTAAAAAAAAAGATTAAAAATCACAAGGAAGTCAGCTGTTAAGCCCATTCAAATAAGACTCTATCTTAAATATTGTAAAGGCCATATATATTTTTCTACTATGTTTATATAAACACATACATTATGTTTATGAAATTCCTAGTTTGAATGTTGGATTTGGAACATTGATAGAATAAAAACAGAACATTCTTGTTGCCATGGCTTATCCATTAGTAATTCACAACAATCCTCCTTTCACTCTTGGGTAAGTTTAAATGTCAAAGCATTAACAACATTAAAGCTAGTTTGTTTCTTGAATCCCCTAGGGACCTAACCAAGGCCGACTAGTTCCACGATTAAATGTTGGTGCTGTCAATAGCAGGCCTACCACTCCTACTGTAGGTAAGTGAGAGAGGGAAATAACTTTTCTGACTGGTAAAGAAGTGCCTCAGCTCTTGGTTTTGAACTATAATCTTAAGTTAAAAGGTAAGTTAGAAGTTCCTATATGTGTGTTGCCATTGATAATTTTATTTTTCCTCTATTAAAACAACCAAATTTCAAAATGAGAAAGCCACAAGGAATATCTGATCCCAAGTAGGTATGAAATTGGGCATTGCTCAGCATTGTTGGTATAAACTGTGATACCAGAAACAGCAGTTTACTCTCAGCCGCATGCTGTCTGCCTTCTATGTAAATGGAATTGCCCAGCACACTCATGGCAATAGCCTATTTATTATCAAAAATTAATTTGACCAAATTGGTGAGAATGCAGTTGAAAGATGATTAAAATGGACAGAAAGCTTAAGGCGGTCAAAGAAAAAAATAATTCTGTGTTTAATGCATATTGTTGATTGTCCTCTGTTGGTCATTGGGAGCCCCTCCAGGCTGTGTTCTGCGTCTTCTTTGACAGAGCTCCATCACAGCTCCACAGTGCGAGCACTTCTTTCTGACACAAGATGTTCTGAGCCTATCTTAAATTTTCCTGCCCTGTTCCTAGAACCAGCCACTTATGCAACCTTAAAAATGTTTTAAATGAGCCTTGTAAATCTTAAGAGAATCTACACTATTTAGTTTTAAAGCCTAAACTCCACACCTAAAATTAGCATGTCCTTCTGGTAATAGTGAAGAAAAAAATCTACCTACTCTGAATTTTCTTTTCTTGACAAAATAAAATACTTACATTGCTTCACTAACCTTCACCAAATTCTTTGGAGTGCTCTTTTGTTTTTTTTAAGTTCCCCTTAATCTTTTGTTTTTAATGTTGGAACACATGTATTCAACATATAAAAATGCAGTCAGAGAAGCTATTATTTCTAAAAAGTTTTTTGTTCTAAGTATTAGAACACTCTTTAATACGTGGGAAGACTTGCCTAGGGATGGTGATATGTCAGAGTAAGGTCTCACCTTCTAGGTCTGAGAGAGAAACACTAGAACCCATTTCTGGGTACCTTTGTCTTCAGCAACTCTATCCCTGAATGGACTGCTGCTTCCAGAAAGAAGGGACATATGTAGAGCCTGCATCTCCAAAGGAAAAATTGGAAACAGACATGTTTCCATGAATCTGTTTGTTGAGAGAGCAATGACATCAGTGTTGCTATTAAGTCTTGGAGTCTTGCAAAATTCACTCATTAAGCAAACATTTGTTGAGGGCCTATTAGGAGCAAAACACAAGAGCAATGTGCTCACAAGGCTAAAACATGTTAACCAAGGCTTATAATCTAGTAAATGAGATAAGGTATTAATAAGACAACTCCTATGATAACATGTTAAGGAAATTTCAGAGGCAGGAGGTAGGATTTTGACTAAGCAAATCAAGGAAAGTTTTCTAAAGGTACCTCAAGGTTGAATTTAGATCATCAATGAAAGATTTGGACTAGATTTCCTTCAAGATGCTCGACTGCTTAAAGTCTCTGAACATAGAAAAGCAGTAAATTTTTCATGCCTACCTAGCAACCTCAAAGATCAGCTGCTTTTGTTACATGTGTGTTGGTTTAGCTTCATGGGCACAGTAGGCATATTCCAATTCTCAGCAAGTGACAGAGATTAAAAGTGCCACCTAAGGTAATTAATAAAAAGCTTTGGTCTTTATTCTGGTATCTTATTCAAACTCTTAACTTCTTGGCTTCATGTAGCTAAAACTCAGTGCTTACTGTATTCCAGATGCTGTGTGAAGAGCTTTACATGGAGTGTTAATGCTCACAAGACTTATGAAATGGGTACTATTATCTCCATTTTACAGATGAGAAAACTGAGATACAAAAAGATTAAATCTTTTTCCCAAGAACACTGAGCTAATGGGGTATTAGAGTTTGAATTCAAACTCAAGCAGGTAGGCCTCACAGCCTACATTCTTTACCACCACACTATTACTGAATTTTGTAGCACCTAAACAACCTGGTACACTTTTAAAAAATTACTTTGCTCTTAATTCTAATGATTTTTTTTCTCATTTTTCATTGGCTTCCTGTGCTTTGAAGGTAGTACCTGGCAAGCTAAAGAGTTCAGAGTATAAATCTGTATAGTAAGTCATCTAACTAACATGGTCTGTTAATTATAACCACAGCAACCCCACAAACAGTGTCTGTCCCAAATAAAGTTGCAACTCCAGTGTCAATGACAAGCCAAAGATTTACAGTGCAGATTCCACCTTCTCAGTCCGCACCTGTCAAACCAGGTAACATGATTGGGGCGGGGAGTGAAATTTGTGAATAATTTACAATTGTATAACAGTCTGTGTTCCTATAGAAAGAATTAAATTGTTTTAAGGTCACTGAAGGGTGGCCATAATATTGTGTATCTGGTTTCTTTAGAGGGGTCTATGAACCCTTTAAAAAGTATGTGCAGTTTTACATCTGTGTAACACTTGGAGGTGGAGAAGGGAGAGTATTTAGCATGCTTATCAGATTCTCAACGTTGTAAACTAGAAAAACAGTAGGATCTACAAATCTAAGGCATCTTCAGGGAAAAACATATATGGCAGAAGCTTAAGAAAATACTACAAGTTAGTGATGAGTATGTGTGTGCAAACCAGAACACAAACTCAAATGCAAATTATACCTTTACTCTCTGCATAGGAGACTGATATATATATACATACATATATGTATGTGTATACAAGCATGAATATATATACATATATATATAATATGTACACATATATATACACAAGGTTGGAATAATTTAAGTAGAATTTAAGTAAAGCATAGTTTACTAATGCATGTTTATATTCCACATCTTCTGAAAGCTAACTGCATACACAACTCCTATAAAATATTGGCCTATAGGAGAAGCTTGATTCCTGACCTTGAATAGGTGCCTTTAGTATGTTACATGATGAATTCAATATACTGTTTTCCATGACTAAGTCCTAATTGAAATTTTAGGTAGTTAGGTTAAAATCTCTTTAACCTCATATTAAATATGTTTAAGTAGATTTAGTCTTTCTGTATACACAAATCAGAACATTACATTGTACTCCATAAATATTATAAACTATTATTTGTCAATTATAAGTAAACAATAAAGATTTAACATTTTAATTCAACTCTTAATGTGGTATAGTTACCTGTTTCTTCTATAATATAGTTGCACCTTATGCTATTTAAATTGATTTTAGAATTATATTTGGCTTTCTTATATATTTTTTACCATATGTTTTTGATTCTGGCTAATTCATAGTTTGTGGGGGCTTTTTTCCCCTCTGTTTACAGTTCCTGCAGCAACTTCAGTTCCAAATGTTCTGATTAATCCTTCAATGATTGGGCCCAAAAATATTCTTATTACTACCAACATGGTTTCATCACAGAACACGGCCAATGAATCAAACCCACTGAAGAGAAAACATGAAGATGATGATGACAATGATACTCTGTGAATATAGTCTAGACTAGATGCAATTCAAAAGTGAAGTTGTTTTTGAGCCCAGAATACTGAACTAGAACATTCTGTATCTTAAGTTTTGTCTTAGAAGAATGTAGCTGCAATGTTTTTCACAGTAATTGAAACTGTTGGTGTTCTTTAATAAGAGTACAATTTTTAATTAGGCACAAGTACTTGTTTCTGAATAGTTTCATTAATGTGGAGGCGTACTATGGCAATTTTATTTGTGAAAGCAGATTTCCACCATGTGTCACTGACAGCAGAACTTACATTTGTTTCTACTGCCTGGTCAGTGGACTAATTTTTAACAGCATAATTTCTAATCCACATTTAAATACTACTTTCTTTTTTTGTAAAGTAAAATAGTCACTTTTACTGTCACTAACTTTTTTGACCAAATTTCTCAGTTTAAGGAACATTTTTGGATAGGGCAGATTTAGAAGGATTACAGATCCATTTTGATTGTATTTAAGTTGCTTCTTGGTCCTAACTTACCACCTCAACTCCCTTTCTAGATTCCATCCATTCTATACCCTTACCCTGTAAGTTTGTTTTTCCTTGTTGCTCTTAAATTTAAAAGGCCATAACTGGAATTTTAAAAATCATTCCTGATAATACAGATAATTATCATTTTCATATTTTGAAAATATGCTCTGCAAGCCTGCTGGTCTGTGGTTCACTTTAACCTGAAGATTTGCATTTGCTTCTTGTTTTTCACTCCAGACCAGAGCAGTTGGGCTTTATCCCTTGCCTTTATGCCTGTTGAGCTTTACTCTGCTTTGACAGGTAGTTCTGGATCAGTTACATTTGTCTCACTGTTGTATTTCAAGTTGATAACTCCATCATATTTCACGTTTCTAAATTTAACAAAGAGAGGCTATAAGCTTAAAATCTGCCATGATAAGTATTTACACTGGACCTAGGCAAAACCACTGAAGAGCATTTTCTTGTTTTCTACCACATGCATACATGCTTTAATCACTACTGCTTGAACACTCCTATTGGTATAATTCAGATCATATTTTTAGCTTGTAGCTGAGGATGTCACATATAAGGGATCAAACCTGGAAGTAGACTCTAATGGTTCTCCTTCCTCTGTAATGCCAATAAGGAAAACAAAGTAGTCTGATGCAACTTACATTTAGGTGCACTCTGCATAGGTTTGCTAGTAATGTAATAATCCTGCTTTCCATTTGTACACATCTAACAATCTTGTTGGGAAAGATTGCAGAGCTCTTGAACATAGGCAGCCCTTGTTTTTGTTTAGTTTAAGTTCAATGTAGAAAAACCTGCAAACTTCTCTGAAATAAAATTTTATAACGTAATTTAGAATTTGTAGCTAAGGATCCTCAAAACTTAAATGTAAGTTTCATCTTAGGATGGTACTTGATGCATCTAAGAGAGTCTCATCAGAGAGAAATGTCTCAGCACAGTTTGAATGTTTTTGGATGTTCAGGGAAGATGATATTAAACTTAACAAATCTGATCGACACCATAGGAGAGAACTGTTCATTATGTAGCATAGGATGTCATTACTTGAATGTTCTCAGGGAGGCAGCATGTTAGAAGGTCTAGGTTCTAGTCCTGGCTCCATCCTTTACCAACTGTGTGACCTTACTTCACCTCTGAGCCTTGTTCTCTTCACTAGTAATAGGAAAGTAACACCTACCCTGCCTACCTCACAGGGATGTTGTGAGGGTATAACTGGTGTACATGAAAGTTCTTTCAAAGCTGTAAAATGCTATATACCTATAAGGGATTATTATTATTGTTCTAGGGTTATTAATAAAACTTTGAGCAAATCAGTGATCTTTCATTTTTGACTAAAAGGATTCAAGGAAAATGAACAAGACCAAAGCATTCTGAAGGCAATAAAGCAATTGAGGTTTATTCAGTGGATGAACTGATCATAAAACAAGACTTGATAGCTTTTATTTGGAATCAGTATGTGGCTCACCATAGTGAAGCGAAAATGAGTGAAAGAATATGGGTTTAAATGTTGAAAAAGGGCCGGCGCCGCGGCTCACTAGGCTAATCCTCCGCCTAGCGGCGCCGGCACACCGGGTTCTAGTCCCGGTCGGGGCGCCGGATTCTGTCCCGGTTGCCCATCTTCCAGGCCAGCCCTCTGCTGTGGCCAGGGAGTGCAGTGGAGGATGGCCCAGGTGCTTGGGCCCTGCACCCCATGGGAGACCAGGAAAAGCACCTGGCTCCTGGCTCCTGCCATCGGATCAGCGCGGTGCGCCGGCCACAGCGCGCCGGCCGCGGCGGCCATTGGAGGGTGAACCAACGGCAAAGGAAGACCTTTCTCTCTGTCTCTCTCTCTCACTGTCCACTCTGCCTGTCAAAAAAAAAAAAATTAAAAAAAAAATGTTGAAAAATATCACATGCTATCTTCAGAGGAAATTTATGCTTCTAAAAAATTATACATTTAATTTAGGTTACAATCTGGGTGTTCTTTCACTTAGCAGGTCAGACCGTAATGAGTTTGCTGTTTCACACAGAGACTGCTTTATCTTGCACATCTTCCCAAATCTAGCTGCAAGAATAATTTCAGGCAGCCCTCTTGGCCTCCACTCTTGGCCTCCAGCCTCTAGGTGGAATTTTAAAAGAGATGTACTTAACAGTGACTTGAGTGAGGACACTGTCATCTTAAGTGCTTCCCTTTGCAACAGTTAGCAAAAAACAAGTGTCTATGATCTGAGTATGAGCACAGGAATACAGCCAGCATGTAGTAAGACTGGAAGACGTGGTGCTTTCTAAGGTCTAAGGGATCCAAACTGAAGGGAAGGTCTCAAGTCATAGGAAAGAAAACACGAAGCAGAACAGCAGGTACTGAGCGATGTTTGTAAAATGCCACCACTTACATGTCAACGTGGGTGTAGGTAGATATACACATAGATTTTCCATTTGCATTAAGTAGCTCTAAATAAGCTAAAGAATAGAATGAATTCTTCATTTATTACTTGGAGATTGACATTTTTTTCTATAAACAGGCATACGTATGAGGGGACTTTTAAAAAGTGTGTGAGAAAATGGGCTAAAAAGAGTGAATGGGGCAGGCTTTTGGTCTAATGGTTAAGATGCCCACATCAGGGGTCAGCACTATGGCACAACAGGTTAAGTTGCCACCTGTAGTGGGTGCATCCCATATGGGCTCCCTGCTAATGAGACTGGGAAGGCAGTGGCTGATGGCTCAGGTGCTCGGACCCCTCTCACCCATGTGGGAGACCCAGAGGAAGCTCCTGGCTCCTGGTTTATGCCTGGCCTTGTAGACATTTGGAGAGTGAACCAGTGGATGGAAGATCTCTATGTGTCTCTCCTTTCTCTAACTTTGCATTTCAAATTAATAAAGAAATCTTTTTTAAAAATGGCCACATCCATATCACAGTACTAGGTTCAATATTTCATTCTAGCTCCTGACTCCAGCTTCCTGCTGTTGCAGACGCTGGGATGCAGCAGCAACAGCTCAAATAATTTGGTTTCTGCCACCCACATGAAAGACCTGAATTAAGTTCCTAGCTCTGTCTCTGCCTCTCAAAAAATTTTTAAGAGATGTTTATTTTGGCACAAAAAATTTAAATTCATTTGTAGTTTTTTCATAATACATATTTTCCATGAACTGTTAAGTCCCTCATATATTGTCTGGGAGTTAAAGTCAGTTTACAAAGGCTATACCTTTGCAGTACTTTATCAATAAATTATATATATATATATTAAATCAGAAAGCCCTACTCTGCACTATGCTAGCTTATATAGTTGTAAGTTATTTGTTTTCCACGTCTTCTTTAGGGCGTAAATTCCTTCAGGATAAAAGTGCTATTTTGTTTCCTCAGTCATACCCTAAGCACATAATTGATACTCAAATATCTGGCTAATTCCCAAGTTGTTTTAAGACGAGTTTCCCCATTAGTTCTCTGGATTAACAACTCAAATAAGTGGAAGATCATGGAAGCAGAATCTAATAGAAAGTAATTAAAAGGAACACTCAAAACTTGATGGATAATATTGGCAATTGTATAGTCTGTGGATGGATGTTTATAGTTCCTTCAATAATTCTGTACTTGATACAATAAAAATGTTGGCAGGAAAGCTTAATCAGAAGGAAAAAAGTTATCATTTTGCTACAGTTCTAGTCCAGCTATGACAATTTGCTGGATCTGTGGGTGGTATCTCTGGGCCTTATCTACAAAAAGACTAGACCAGAATTCATGCTTCCTCAAACCATGGTAAAATACCCTTAGAAGTGAGCAGAAGCATCATGCATTTTAAAATTAGCTATAAATATGGGGACAGTATTAACTAAAACACAAATTAAGAAAAAACTTGAGCTTTCAAAAAAATTTTCTTAAAGCAGCTACCCAATTTCTTTTGCTGTTCTCTCCAGTTAACCCAAAAAGTCCTAGTCTAGGAGCATCATATCAGGAAGGTAGGCACAATAAAAAAGCCAAGTCCTTGGGCCCCTGCACCCAGTGGGAGACCAGGAAGAAGCTCTTGATGGTTCGGTTCAGCTACAGCTCGCTGTTGGCGGCCATTTGGGGAGGGAACCAGCGGATAGAAGACCTTCTCTCTCTCTGTCTTCAAATAAATAAAATCTTAAAAATACTGCCTTTAAGTCTGAGACAGTAGTATGCATGCTCAAATTCTACACAGTCACCTATTCATATCCATGGGTTTGCATCTGCAGATTCAACCATGATTGAAAATATATTTTAAATACTGTACTAAACATGGGGGCCAGTGTCATGGAACAGCAAGTTAAATCGTCACCTTTGACATCGACATCTCATGAGCCCTGGTTCAAGTCCTGGCTGTTCCCCTTCTATTCTACCTCCCTGCTAATGCGCTTGGGACAGTAGTGGAAGATGGCCCAAGTACTGGTGCCCCTGTCACCTATGTGAGAGACACTGAAGGAGTTCAGGCTCCTGGCTTCAGCCTGGCCTGGCCCCAGCCCCAGCCATTGCAGCCATTCGGGGAGTGAACCAGCAGATGGAAGGTCCCTGTCTCTCTCTAACTCCACCTTTCAAATAAATAAAATACTTTTTTAAAAATTGTCCTAAACATAAACAGACCTTTTATCTTCATCATTATTTCCTAAACAACAACTTTTCACATAGTTTTTACACTAGGGATGATTTAAATAATATAGGTTATATGCACATATTATGCCATTTTACACAAACCTTGAGCACCTGCAGATTTTGGTATCCTTGCTGGGGGCTGTTCCTAGAACCAACTTTCCATGGATATGAAGGAGGTAATTATATAACCAAATAAGCAACCAAGTCTAAGAGTTGAATAGACATTTTCAGACACATTAGCTCTCAACAATTTTGTTTGCCCCAACAAGAAGCTAGTGGAGTCTTCTGTCCCACAGAGTACACCAAGAGAAGGGGATCCAGGAAATGGGAGAGTTCAACACAGGATGTGAAAATTCCCAGAGTAGCAGCTGTGCAGAAAACCCAAGGGGCAGCCATAACAAACTAGAGCAGAGGTATGTTGGACTTTGGCAAGTATGTCTCCAATAAGAATTAACAGATTGAAGGTCAGATTAAAGGTGAACATTTGGCCTAGCAGCTAAGAGACCAGTTAGGATGCCTGCAACCCATATCAGAGTGCCTGGGTTCAATCCCTAGCTCAGCTCCTGATTCCAGTTCCCTGTTGGTGCAGGCCCTGGGAGACATCATTGAATTGCGTTCCTAGCTCCTAGCTTCAGGCCCCCAGCTATAGTGGATATTTGGAGAACAAATGAATGGCAGCTCACTCGTTCAACCTCTTAAGTATGTTTCTAAAAATTAACTGATATGCTTATATTGAGACATTTACAGTTCTGGCAGATTTAGGGATGAAACTGACAGGTTTGTGGCAAAAAGAAAACTTTTTAAAAACCACTAACAGCTCCACAGAAAAAGTTTCCTAAGTAAGTACAATCACAGAATACCACCTAGCTCAGCTGTGAATGGTATTTATAGTATAGACTTCTGATCTGATCTATAACAATGACAAAACTATACTGAGATAAAGAAGTGAAAATATGTCTGGAACAGAGGCTATAAGAGTTCAATCTTCCATTGTAGGAAAATAATAGATATTTGTATAAGCATGTTACTTAGAAACATGGAGGTAAATACCAGAAAAAAACTCAGTCACCTCTGGGGAATGGGAATTGAATGGGATGGATGGGCTAGGACTTTTTTTGTTCTGTTAAAAGCCCTGACTTTTTAAATTATGAACATGCATGAGTCAAGCATATGACCTAGCAGTTAAGACAAATTAAGACATCTGTATTCCATGTTGGAGCACTTGGGTCAACACTTGGCTCTGGCTGCTTATTCTAGCTTCTTGCTAATGTAGACTCTGGGAGGCAAGCAGGCTCAAGTAATTGGGTTCATGGTACCCACATGGGAATACTGGATTGAGTTTCTGGCCAAAGGCCATTGTGAGCATTAGGGGAATGAACCAACGCATGGGAACTCTCTGGTTTTCTCCCTCTCAAATAAATATTTTAAAAATTATGATCAAGTGTAACTGATGAAGTAAAGCAGTAGTACAATGTCTGCTATAGAGTAGGCCCTTGACAGAGTGTACACATTTAGTCCCTTCCCTGAGATTCTGTTCTCACACTTCCTAACAAAAATGACAAGGAAAAAAAATCCCAGTTTCAATGGACAGTTTTATTGTTTATTTACGTGATCATCAATTTTGTTTGCCTGTCTAAAACTAGTATTTTATCTTGTTTCCATGCTGAAGTGAAGCAGCGACAAAGCTAATCAGAATAAACTACTTCAAAAAGACAGCTAAGCTAACA